AATTTATTTTAATAAATTAAATTTCAACTTTTAGAAATTTGAAGTTCAAACAAATTTGAAATCTTAATTTCGAATAAATTTGAATATTTGCTTATTCTTGGTTGATTTATCTAATCTTAATTTAAGCTCTATATATTTGGCTCTTAAGCTAAAAATAAATGGAAATAAACTACAATTAGTTCTTTCTACTTCATGCTTTTAATTATGATTATAATAAAATAATCAAATAATTTTTTATTTAATATTTATGAATGTCTTTGTGTCCAAATCTTTTGTCAATCTTATTTTTTTCAATATCAAAAATATTTAAAATTTTGTGGAGTATAAGGAGTTGGAAGAAAATTTCTATTATTAAAAATTATTTAGGATTTTTAGGCTTGAAAAAACATCATATCGAGTTATAATATATATTTAATATGGAATTTATTAATAGTTGATATTTTAGAATTAATTGATATATAATTATTTTATAATATGAATTATACAAGTGAAAATGGCTTATAGCCGAAAGATTTGAAAGGATAAGCTTTAGAAAAAGTGATTGAAAATTGGAATAAAAGCTTAAAAAAGTTAGAAAAAATATAAATTCAAATCAATATTAAAAAAGACCACTAAATCATTTATTCAAAAGACGGAGCAATCTTAAGAATGTAAATATTAATTATAAGTTAAAAAGAGAAGAAATTCATTCTATCTCAAAGAATCCATAAATATTTAGTAATATGGAGCAAATCGAAAATCTTTTTTGGTAAGGATAATTTGACAAGAGGAAATTTAAAGTTGGAAAATGGATTGCATCTTGGAATAAAGCATTTCTAAAGGATGTAGGTGGATACTTTGTGGACGGATAAAAGCAAGGATTATGGAAAGATCTATTTTTAAACTATTGTTAGTAAGTTATCCTATATTCAGTCTAATGAATAGAGAAGCACAGGTTTTTGAAACTGGAGAATATTGTGCTGACCTTAGAATTGGTAATTGGGATTTTATTTGGCTCGATAAGAAGTTGTAATTATTTTAGTAATTGCTTAGAAGTGGGGGATTCTACAATAAAAATGGTTTAAAGTAAGGTAAATGGGTTGAGTTTGATGAAATATTTGGGATTGTTAAATAAGTCACTTATACTGGTGAATATAATATTTAAGGTAAAAAGGTAGGTAAGTGGGATATCATGTATAAATATCGTGATTATTTTGGAAATGAGGACAAAGAATATAAATAAATGTAAATACTATTTTAGTAATAGATGCATCATAATATTTTAGAGGTGGTGGAATATATGGTGAGGGTTAGATTAAGATTGGAAGGTGGATAGAGTTATGGGAGAATTTTGGATTTAATAGATAAGTCACATTTAATGGTGAATATAATATTTAAGGTATAAAGGTAGGTAAGTGGAATATATTATACAAGGGATAATAAATGTAAATATTTTCTAAGTATAGGTTCATAATAATAATGTTAGTGGTGGTGGAACTTATGATGATTTTTAGGGTTAGATTAAGATTGGAAGATGGGTAGAGTTGTGGGAGAATTTTGGATAGAATAGAGAAGTCACTTTTAATGGAGAATATAATATTTAAGGTATGAAGGTAGGAAGATGGGATATAATGTATAAAGATTGTGATTATTTTGAAAATGAAGACAAATAATATAAATAAATGTAAATATAATCTAGTTATAGATGCATCATAATAACTTAGAGGGGGTGGATTATATGGTAAGGGTTAGATAAAGATAGGAAGGTGGATAGAGTTGATTTAGCATTTTGGAAATCATAGAGAAATCACTTTTGATGGTTTATATAATATGAAAGGTATGAAGGTAGGAAAGTGGGATATAGTGTACAAAGGATAATAAATGTAAATAATATATTATTACAGGTGGATAATGTATGACAGTGGTGGTGGATCTTATGGTGAGGGGGAAAAGGGCTGTATAAAAATTGGGATGTGGGTAGAGCTGGATGAAATGTTTGGGGATTCTTGGGGATCAAATTAAATCACTTATTAAGGTGAATATAATTTGAAAGGTATGAAAATTGGTATATGGGTGTAAAATGAAGATAATATATTGAAAAGTATAATAATTTGATTCTTATTCATCTTAATCTGAAAGGCTCCTCCAATATAGATTTAAATACCATTTTAGAAATTATGGGAGATGTTTTGCGTTTCCTCCCTCATGATTCCCCCTTCTTTATTTCACCTGAATGTTCTTGTGAATTGATATAAAATCTTCCCCCTTTTTCTCCATCTTATTGCATCCATTATTTCCAATTTTTTATGAAGTTTCAAGAAATTATTTTCCATTTTCCTAATCTAATTTTGAATACAAGTTTAATAATTTTGAATCTAAATATAAATAATCTATTTAAATTGTGCTAAAAATACAAACATAAATTACTTGTTATCTTTAAATCAAAATATTAAACTAAATTAGAAACGTCTAGAATTTATAAGATAAACATTATTTTATTATTAGAAGTTAAACAAATATATATATGACATCTAGAATCAATTTATTTAATTCTAATTATTTTTAAGATAGTATGATTTTTACAAGAAGAAAATAATGTCTTATTTCAATACTAAACCAATAAAACAAAATACAGATGGAAGATAAGAATCATTACCAATATTTTAGAAATGGAAAAATATTATAATCATTTGTACTTACATTCATTTAACTGGGTGATATTAATCTTTCCAGCAAAAAGTAATCCATTTACTAACCTTTCTACCATTTTTATATTCTTTAGAAGATTACTTAATTTTTACTAATAAATTAAGAATCAATTCACATTAATACTCCTAAAGCCAATCTGTCTATTGTATTTATTTAAAACTTCTCTGAATTTATAACATTATTTATATTTTTCCTCTTGTTCATTAAATACTTAATTATTATGATTCAATCTAAATAAATTTTATTTTAGTATTCAAATTAATGTTATAATAATAATAAAATCTTTTATAATATAAATATTTATAGAGTTATATTTTTCTAATGCATGTTTTACTTATAGAGAGTCTTTAAAATTTTTTCATTGAACAAGTAGAGTATAATAGTTTATATTAATTTTTTCTGAAGCATTCTGAAAGTCCTTACTTGTGTGAATCTTAAAGTTTATTTTACATTATATAAGATCATTTTTAGATAATTATAACTTATGACTATTTTGTGTTAGTGAGGAAATATTACTTTGAATATTTGCTAACATTGATTTTATAAAGAATTCCAATTAAATTTTGATATAAATTAGATTAGATCTAAATAAACTTTGCAGATCAATAGTGAAATTTATAATAGTAATTGCACAACTTGTTTATAAAGGCCAATTTTTAGAAAATTTTGTTATTATTAATTCAACTACTAGTTCGATTTTTGTAATTATAGACTAGGGAATAATAATTAAAAAAATTAACAAGTTTAAATAATGGAAGGGAATTATAACTAAGGATACCAATTTAATAATATCATAAGTATTGTAAATTTTATCCATCTATACAATCTTAGCATAATTATGAACAAGAAATACAAAAAAATTAACATTGTTAATTACCATCATATTGAATATAATTTTCATCATCACATTAGTCAGATTCTTCTCTCAGTATTCCATCTTTACAAACAGAAACACCAAAATTATTTTTAATTTTAAAATACTATTAACAGATACATAATCTAAACTTGAATTACATATTTAACAATTCTAACTACATTATCCTTCATTACTCCTTCATTTTTAGATATATTTCTTGCATTTTTAAATAAATTTTAGATATTTACAATGGTATTCAAGAATTTAAGTCTTTAATAATTAAGAAATTCTAAGATTATCATCTTTTAATGAATATTGAATATTAAAAAAGTTCTTTAAGGGAATATCATTAGGAGTGCTTTTAAAAACTAAATTTATTCATTTTCTATATTTAATATGTATGTAAAATTAATTTTTTTCATTTCCCAATGAAATTTTGAAAAAAAAAATAACATTATAGGTTTATGAAATTTAATTAAGTTATTTAGATTCCTTTATACTTTTTTCCTTTTTATTTAAAGAAAAATAAAAATATTGTCATATAATCATGAGTTTTTTCATTTTATCATATTAATATAATTAATTTTATTTATAATACTATTAAAGGTTTCCATATAATGAATTTTAATAAAGAATTAATACATAGAAATCATAGAGAAAGAAATATCTTAATTTTGGATAAAAACCGAGATTAAATGAAAATGAAATTTGAGTTTCAAAATTTTTCTGAACTTAAGGCTTTAAAACATTCCTGTATTGAATTACATATAATTTTGCAAATCAAAATATAGGAATTAAAGAAATTATTTGTAAATCTTTTAAATTTGGCGTTTGCTTATATTTAAAATATAGAAATTACAAATTTAGCTTTGCACAAATGATTCTATTTGATGAATAGACAAAAACTTAATGATTGATTCAATTCAGATTGATTCTATAATTATAAAAAGGTAGAAAACTAAATAGTAATAACTAAATTTTAAATCTCATATAATTTTATAAGAAATTATCAATTAATTATAAAACAAAAAGAGGGTACTTAAAAAAAGGTTTATTATTAAATACTTGATATAGTAAATAATATAGAAAGTTTAATGTAATAATATGGATAATATAATTGCATATAAAATGAAGAATTTCTTTGATGTCATAATTATTTTGATTAAAAAAAATTTTAATGGCAAAAATTCTTTTTCTTATTTTACTTTGTTTAGCGATTGGAATACTATTTTTGAAAGTGGATGGTTTGAAAAATGCAAAGAAAATGACATCAGATATATTTTAGTAGGGAATTTAAGAAATAGCGCATTTTATTCTGTATTAAATTTGCCTCCACATTATGAAGTTAAAGTTATTGTAGATGGTTATTTCATAAGGCCACCAGGTTCCACTGTGACAATTTCTTATGATATTTAAGGATCCTCTCCTTCATAATCATTCAATTACAAGGATGATAATGAATATAGTTATGATAAAGTTTGTAACGATGACTGGAGTAAATTTGAAATATAAACATTCACTATGAAATTTAATCATAAAGATAATGACGAAATTAGGTTTAGAGTGTGTGGAACAAATTTTCCAGATGATAGAAATTATGGTCTAAGAGGTTTATAGATTTATGTAAATAAATGTCATTGGTCATGTTTAAAATGTAGTAGCAATTTAGAAACTACTTGTCTAGCTTGTTTTACAAATCCTTCTGCTAATTTAGGGTCCCCTTCAACTTGTAGAAATTGTCCTGTTCATTATGCTTTTATTGAATATTTAGATAATACAAAAAGTTGTGTAACTGAATGTAATTACTATAGAATTCCAGATTCTAATAAAGTATGTTAATTTAATGAATGTATTGATTTTAATAATTATTTAGATATGCTCCCTTATACGACATATTTTGATACTACTACAATTCCTTCTACAACTCCTTGGATGTTTATTCCTGATCCAATAAATTTTAATATAGTTTATACCGAAAAGATAAACAAAATACCTTGTTTCTCTAGTAAAAATTATGTAGGTCCATTTTTTTATAATGAAGGATTTAGTATAAAGTTATCAATTCCTTATAATATCTCCTATATAAGATTTAGAGCAACAATAATTAAATTTAACAATTGGGTTGATTATTCAGCAGTTCATGTATTATTAGATGATATTGAATTTGCATCAGTCTACACAATTTCTTAAGTAATGACAGGTCGAAATGCTGATTAATTATATTCTGATACAAATTGTACTAATCCTAATGTTGGATATTATAGATTAGAAACTAAATTAAAATCAAATATCACAAATCCTATATTAATCTTATAAGGATCTATGGAGTATTAATATGATAATAATTATTAAAAGTCAATCTGGTTGACAATCTTGGGGTTTTCGAGATGTTGTTATGGATATAATGAAATGTTAAGAATCATGTGATTGGTGTGATTTTGATTAAAAATGTTATTCTTGTTCAACAGGATTTCTTTATAAAAATAAATGTGTATCTAATTGTCCATCATATGGAATTGAGACCACAAGAGTTTGTTAAGATTTAGACGAAATTGTTGCTAGTATAAATATATAATATTTAATGTTAGATTCAAAATACATAATAAAAGCATTTTATGATTCTTCAAATACAACTGATACAGATGTAAGTTCTATTGTTGGAACAGTATCAAATTCAGGTGCAGATTTTAAAACTAAAGATCGCTTTTTGAATACTAATTCTGCTATTTATTTTAGTTATTATTTGTAAAAAAGAGTATTAGGTGGTCCATTAGTTTGGTATAAAGCAAAATTTCTTAAAAATTTCAATTTAAATCCTCATTATAGTTTTAGATTTAAATTTGTCATCATTTTAGGAGATGATTTTGATGGAAGTTTTGACTATGATATTGGAGGAGTTTCAGCTTCATTGACAAGAGATAGTAAACTAACTACAGCCAATAATGTTGGTAAAGATAAAGATGACAAATATATAATTATTGATAGAATAGAATCACACATTATATCCAGTTTTTCAGTAGAACTCTAATGTAAATCAAATAAGGGATCTATCGAAGATAATTTTTGTATTATTTATGATTATTTTATACTTATTTAGAAGTAAATAATAAATATTAATTAGTGTACTCAATATTGTACTGCTTGTACTGGCCCAACGTGGGCATAATGCACAGGAAAATAATCATTACCAACAGGCATGTAAACACCTTCTACATGCATAAATAATACTTACTATTATGATAACTCAGTTACTCCTGCTATTTGTAGATTATGCACCCCTACTTATTGTTTAGAATGTTTAAGTTAATACATTTTTATTAAATGTGCCACTAATTTTTATTTATAGAATGGAAGTTGTTAATGTTATCCTTGGACATATTTAACAAATACAAATACTTGTGAAAATTGTCATCATTTATGCGAATCTTGTTATGGTTCTGATAGTGCTGAATGTTTATCTTGTAAAAGTTCTTAACTTAGATATTTAAATAATAACCAATGTATTTGCCGGAGCAATTATTATGATGATGGTATCATCACTCAATAATTCTAATTTTATTATTTTGAATTTAATATTTCTCTATTTTCTAAAAGATAAACTTTTACTTTAATTAATATACTTCCATAATATCAATTAAAATTGTTAATCAATTTGTGGTGATATGATTGTAACTGAAGGAGAAGACTGTGATGATGGTAATTCAATTAGATTTGATGGATGCAATAATTGTAAATTTGAATGCTAGAAAGAGTGTAAAACTTGTGTTAATGGATAATGTTCAGTTTGTGTTTCTGGTTATGCACTATAAAAAACTATGAGAAGATGTTACCCTATGTGTGAAAATAGTTCTGTTAATAGAGAATAATGTAAAGAGAATAATCTAAGTCTATACGATGGTTGTTATAATTGTTAATTCTAATGTTAACCTTAATGTACATCCTGTATCTTTGGAAAATGCTATTAATGTGATAATTCAATTGGTTATTATATTAATTTAGCAATTTCTAAATGTGAACCTGTTTGTGGTGATTAAATTGTATCTGGAGAAGAAATGTGTGATGACGGAAATGATAACCCTTTTGATGGATGGAATATGTGTGCTTTTTCATGTAATTCCTATTGTGATCTATGCATTTTGGGTGTTTGTACTAAATGCAAATCAGGATTTTTCCTATTAAACAAAAATGGTTATTTAATTATAATTAATTAACACTGTTATCCTCCTGTTTGTGGTGATGGATTTATTGTTGAGGGTTTAGAAGAATGTGATGATGGAAATGGTGAACCAGATGATGGATGTGATTAATGTTAATTAATGTGTTCAGATGGTTGTATTGAATGTCAATAAGGCTAATGTCTAAAATGTTATGAAAATTTCTATTAAATAGATATTTAAACAGCGAAATGTAAAAAAACAAATATTATTGATGAGGATTAAGATGTTGATTTGATCAACATATTGTTAAATTAATAAACAAATTTTAGATGTGGAAAAAATTAATTATTAATTAAAGATTAATGTGTGAATTAGTGTGGAAATGGGTTATTAAATAATTAATATGAAATATGTGTGACGATTGTAATACATTAGGAGGAGATGGATGTTCTTCTTTTTGTAGTATTGAGGATTCATTTCAATGTGAAAGTTAGCAAGGCTCTATAAGCTTATGCACATCTGTCCAAGCACCATAATTTAAATTGGAAATACTTTCTAATAAAGAAAATTCGATTCAAGTTGTAGAAATAACTTTCACTTAATAAGTTAAATTACATGAAGAATTAATACTTGAAGATTTTATGCTTTTTAGTATTCTTCCTTAAACTCAATATGTATTAACAATCAATAGTATTCAAAATTTGACTATTAATCTTACCTAACCGATTTTAAATTATTTTTAGATAGATCAATTATTAAATAAGTTGAGAGGAAGTAATGTAAATTTGGTCAATAGTAAATTAAATCAAGATCCGAGTACTATTTTAAATTAACTCTATATTTACAATGCTAAAAGTTGCTATTTTTCTGTGTTTGCTTCTATATTAAGTTATTTTATTTGTTGCCTATTAGTATCGAAATTATTATAAAAATTTATTTTCAATCTCAATAAGAAATATGAAACAAATAAGAAAATTCTAAAAATGATTCATTAATTTTAACATAAGATTCAAAAAAAGTGTTTGATTTTAAAAATTGAATACTTCTCTTTAGGAATTTTTAAAGTTTATTAAGCAATCCTACATTAGTTTCTGTTCAGTGCAATATTGTAATTTCCAAATTATACTTTTGATTCTTTATTTGAAATATTTAATAGTATTAATGCTATTATTGGATTGTTATTTATTATAATCGCCACTTTTCCATTACTTTCAATTACCTCATCTAAAATAAAAAACTAAAGAAAGTGGAAGTACTTTTATTTTGAATCTAACTCTTAATTTTGGGTTTTGTAATTTAAACCGTTTTAAATTTTCAGAACCTTATTTTATATATTAATTATTGTAAAATTAATTAATTTTCCAGAAGCATAATCTATATTACTATCAACTCAATCATTCTTGTTTATGATTTACTTAATCAAGTTTAAGCCCTTAAAATCTGTATATGAATTGTCAAAATTAATATGCAGAGAATTATTATTAATGATTATAACAGGAACATTCTTATGTTATAGTTTTGAATTTAGCCCAGAAAATAATATTATAATTGGCTGGGTTCATATTGGAATGTTTTGTGCAATTTTGGCTTCAAATTTGTTTATCGACTTGCTATAATAAATTAAGACAATATATGAAGATTATTTGAAAAAAAAACAAAAAGAGAAGATTGAATAGGAAAAAAAATATATAAGGGTTTTAAGTAAATTAAGAGGATTTTAAATAATGATAAAAATGAGAATTCAATATAATTTCCCAAAATTTTATTACATTAAAAACTAATTATTTATATATTAAAAAATCATAATGTTCCTCTTATTTAATTCAAACTATTTAATTAGAATCAATTAATGTCTTCTCTCATAAGTAAACTCTCCTAAGTTTACCTTACAAAAATTTTAATGACTAATTATTTCTTAGAAAGAAAAACTTATTGATCGCATTTTAGATTTATTTTGATATTCACTAATTATATAACTGATATTAACAGAATGAAAACTTCATAATAATCACATTGATTACAAAACAGTTGTTTAATGTAGTATTTGTTCAAAAATAATCTGTCAGCAACTACATTTATATAAGCAACAAAAATATTCACTCATATAATCCAATTTATTCAAAGAATAACAATGAGGCTAAATCTAAATAATTTTTTTCTCTAAGTTCATGATTATATATATTAAAAAAACAACGTTATTTGTATTTAATTATAATTAGAGGATTTATCATAACTCATTAGATTATCTATAATAATTAAAGTTTAAGTATATAATTTTGAAATAATGAATGTATTATTTTATCCATAACAATGATAATCATTTTTTCTTTTAAAAAAAAAAATAAAAAAAAGGATTGAGGAAAAATCAAATTTTTATTTTATTTTGCTTACTCAGTTGTTGAAACACAATTGATTTTTTTTTGTTAAATTTAATTATCATTTTAATTTATAATAATAATGGTCCCTAATCTTCTATGGCCACAGGGACAGG